AAAATGTAATAAGATTACTATGAATTTTGTATTATTCTTTTAAATATGATTACATAAACGTTTAATTAACAAACTCAATTCAGGAATTAAATTGATAATTTCATTGTTTAACGACTTACATATTTTTATATGTACATGTACTTGTTGTCAATTTATGTGATGGTTGGGCTATGTTTCACAGGTCTCAATAATTTATACACACGTTCTCAAGCCTATGCATTTTTATCTGCCCACATTAAAATGTAGTAGTCACTCTGTTGGTCAGTTGTTCACTATTTCTTGTGAATGCTCTTAAGGTTATATTTATCATCTGATCTTTTTAATATTATATGATTAGTGATACTTGTACATGTATCTGATAACTTCCAACTGGCATGAATATGTTTCATTAAATGGCAACCTATCTTAGTAGAATTAACATTAATTTATCAAAATGATGATGCAACTGGCTGATAGAATTTTTAGGAATAAGCAATTCAAAAATATTTCACAAAATTTCAATTATTCAGATACCATGTAAATGTACATATATGTACCTGTACCTGTAGATCATCCAGGATTTGTTGAAAATCTATTTTAGTTTCCTAGAAAAAAGAAATTCCCATCTAGTCATTCCCTCTTCGTCTAACTAAACTAGTCATGTTTTATTAATTTTCCAAGTATGTCAATGTTGTTCAGTAGATATGAAAGTTTACTAAATCAGTATTTGTCTGATTAAAGGCATACATGTATCTCACACTAGTATGTCTGATTTGGCAAACTTCCCTGTTAAAATTATACAACTTCTAGCTCCCCTGAGGCCATCTTTATACCAATCATGTCGGCTTTATATTGGTCAGCCGACAAACTATGATAAGCTATAATGTTACAATGTCACTATATGACAAAATCTTGTATTATTATCTTTATACCAAATGACTGTCGATTTTTATTTTATTTTTATTTAAATATAGAAATAGGTACATGTATATGTCAATTGTCAACTAATCAAATCCAGCTCTAATACTAAGGTCACAAAATGTGTTGGGGTGGCCTACTTCTTTTGACCAAAACCAATATAGATATTATATATTATATATATATATATAATCTTGACAGATATTTTTTAATTTCACAATCTGGAAATTAATAGTTGTTACAAATAAAAAAATATTAAAATTCCTGTGCCCTAGCATTGTAATACATGTATCTTTCTTGAATGCATACACTTTATGCACCATACTATATGTGAAGATGTTTTATTCAGTGTACCTGTATGTGTAATATTTCTACATTAGTTGAGTCATAATACTCATCAAACTGTTCTTTCAACACTGTGAAAAATGGCATGACCTCGAGATCATGTCTACTTTTAAAGATACATTCCCACATACAAACTGGGTGATTTAATGGTATATATGGACTAAAAACATATTCAAACTAATTAATTTGTCATAATTTTGCTTCAAATCCTTCTCAAACACTGTAATTGCGAGGGATTCCCTGCTATAAAAATTTGATCAAACCAGGTCATGTTTACGTCACGTGACTTACCTCTCTTGGAAGTCAGAGGAGAATTCATTGTATACATAAGACGATGTTGTCTTTAATTGCTTACTATTTATTAAAAATATCGAATCCTAATTAAGTCTAACTCTTCATAAAGTTTATTAACTTACATCAAGCGCTCAATGTTCACGTGTGACCTTTGACATCACGCATACCGAAATTCCTAATCGCCAGGCTGTCGATTAGGGGAACCCTTACATTTTTGTCCTGTATACACTCCATGAGTGTTTTTCGGGGAATCCAGTATTTTTCTAGTAAGATTGGATATCTCTACTTTCCATATATACCAAGATTGCCATATTTTTATTGGAAATAACCACCCGATAAATACTTTTCTGGGAACCCATCTTTAACTGTTTAAAATCGCTGATAAAAATTGCACAATAACTACCCTATCTATTTGCTTCAGATCTATTTTAAAATGATACATTTTTATTTTAAATAATTTCAAAAAATAGTTTAGTATTGATGAACCACTAACTCTTATCCCTACATGTATTTCATTCGACTCAGAGGTACGAGATGTACATATCCGTAGTTGCAGTCAAGTGAAAATATACTGCGGATCAGTTTGAAGACTCATAAGCTGTAAAACAAAAATTTGTTATTTAGTATTAAAAGGTCATTAATGGTTTCCTTATCAAGATTAAAATATCCAAACTTTCTGCCCCTCTCCTTAATATTTATGTCTCTACTTTCTACTTTTTTTTCCCTTTCTTTTTTATTTAACACCTTTTACTCATAGTCGTACAGTTATTATTTAACTTAAACCCTACTATAGATAATCATTACTAGATGATCATTAAAATTATATTCATATCAGCCTAGTATTTATATAAACATCAAGTTGCTTGTTTAATGTATCATATTATTCCCTATGAATGTATACGTATAAGACATCTGAATTAATACTGTTTAAACTATCAAAATAAATAACATTTTGAATTAAGTTGATATTTTGTATTATTTCGATTACCTTATAGTCCTTGGGCAATTTCTGTACAATTGAATTCTCATTTTGAGAAACAACTATTGGCTTAAAGCTGAAAAAACTTTGATCATAAAACTAAACAAAACTGTAAGATTGAAGCCAAATTATATTTAATGTATGCCAATGAGAATCACATGTTATGCAGTTTAAATTGAAATGGGTGTATAATGAGATCTGCACTCTTTCACTTGAATTCAAAATTATTTTCTCAATTATTTATACAAACCTACTTTTGTAGAGACAAATGTATATTTTGTATAATTTCAAAAGTAGATCAGTTCAAGAGCTATTGTATTTAGTTAACTAGATAATTCAATTGTAGTGGCTATAAAAATATAACAATAACTTTATTTACTCTAGGTTTGGTAGTAAGATTAGATAACGATAGTATGTAGTGATACAATCAATGTTTACATTCATTTCTATCTTTCGTACCATAACAATTTATGTAGATTTGTGACCTTTCTTTCATTTAGTTTAGTAAACTAAGATATTTTGTATGTAATGTATATTGACCGTTAGTACATGTACATGTATGTATATTTGACCATGTTTGTTGTTGACTTTCTTTCTTCAATATAAAGAGACATTAGAATTTCCCAACAGGAAAAAGACATTTTCCTTTGCTAATAATCAAGAATCTAAGATCTTGCTAAATTTGATCAAACTTCATCAAACCATTTGTTTACAAACATGGATATAGTACATACAACTCATATATACTATTCAAAAAAAGTAGGGGATATTTGATTTTTAAGTGTTATTAAAGTCACCTAATGAAACTGACGAAGAAACAAATGACAAAATGAAATGAAGTTCACATTTATCGATTTATTCCAAATGATCGTTAGACTAAGTAAGGCACAGACTGACCATTATAAGGGTAAAATGATACCCGGGGTCAAACAGCAAAGTTACCACAGCATCACAACCAAGTCAGTAACGGGTAAATCCTCCTCTGTTTGCCAAACAAGCATTGATCCGACGTGGCATACTCCTAATGAGACGTCTAAGGTCATTTTGGTCCAGATTGTCCCATTCCTGTTGCAACGCAGCAGCAAGTTCTTGGACATTGGCAGGACGTCGTTGACGTAACCTCTGTCCAAGCATGTCCCAGACATGCTCGATGGGGGAGAGGTCGGGACTCAGTGCTGGCCAAGGTAATGTGGTGATGTTCTGTTGTTGGAGGTAACCTGTAACGATCCTGGCCCTGTGACATCTTGCGTTGTCATCCTGGAAGATGAAACGGCGGCCATGACGTCGTGCGAACGGCACAACATGGACTGCCAAGATGTTGTCCCAGTAGTACTGGCCTGTAACACGCCCTGCAACAACATGTAAAGCCGTTCTTCCAGCAACAGTGATGCCTCCCCACACCATAACAGAACCACCCCCAAATCGATCATGTCTGATGACGTTAACGTCTTGGAAGCGCTCGTTTCAACGACGTCACACCCTCCTACGTCTGTCCAAAAAATCAACAGTGAACCTTGACTCATCTGAAAACATCACATTGCTCCAGCGTCGATTATCCCAGTGTTGACGATCCCTACACCAACGACGTCTTGCCTGAATGTGATGATCTCTCAAACAAGGGATCACTCAAGGACGTCGGGCGCGAAGGTGACCCCTATGCAGTCGATTCCGAATCGTCTGGCCACTCACTCTCACACCAGTGTCTGTTTGAAGACGAGCGCTGATCTGATTTGCTGTGATGACACGATTTCTCAAGGCCAAGGTACGGATAAATCGATCCTGGGCTTGAGTTGTCGCCCTTGGTCGACCTGAGCGTGGTCTGTCCTGTACAGATTGTGTATCACGGTATCTGGACCATAGCCTGCTTATGACAGACTGAGAAACATTCATCGTCCGCGCCACAACCGCCTGTGTTGTGCCGATCTGTAGCATGCCAAGGGCACGTAACCTTTCATTTTGGGTAAGCCGACGCATATCAAAATTTGTTTTCTGGTCACTAAAACAATTAAACTGATGTTTCCACCCTGGAATTCAATGCCACAATGACTGTAACATTCAAAGTCAGAGTCGTGCAAATCTTGGGTTGGACCCCCATGATGATCCCAAGCATCACCTGCATTCCATGCGGTAGCTATTGGTGCGTTTGGGCGTCACATGTAACTGGAAATGTTTCTTCTGTTAGGTTCTATAGTGACTTTTTTCGTAGTCATTTGCATATTTTAGTATTATGCCCCCAAAATCAAATATCCCCTACTTTTTTTGAATAGTATATGTACCCACCAATATAACTATCATATCACGCCAAATTGTTAAACAACCCAAAAATTTACCAAACTGCAGAAATTCTGAAAGTTCTAAAGCCTCTTGAAAATGTACATGTATGTAGATGTTTCTGTTTTCTTTTGCATGTTTCTTAGTGCTTTGCCATGTGTTAATATGCTTTTGCAACCCGCATGTAAAACCAACCTTTGTTTCCTGTTTTCAGGAAGCCTTTTTTCCTTTTCAGAAGCCTTACTCCAGAATCGTCCACTTCCTGATGCCCCTTTAGATCCAACATCAAAATGGATGTCAAAGGAAAATCTTTTAGCTGGTCAAGAAGAAGATCCAAACTTGTTTGTGGCTTTGTATGATTTCCAGGCAGGGGGAGATAACCAGATCTGCATTGTTAAAGGTTAGCTATGTTATTTATGTGGTAGAAATGTAGTTTTGTGACTGACCCTAGTACATATATACTATGACTCCATGTTTTATCTTTATATAACCTTCTAATTTTGATTAATGAAAATTACTCGGGTTATTGTGAAGTGGCATGGTTTCAATCCCAACCTGGTATTTGACAACCTCATGGGTTTTCTCCAGGTCATCCTGTTTCATCCCTCTGCCATAGACCCCTATGCGGAAGCGAATTTTGAAATAAAAAAAATGACCCATATATATGTAAGTCCCGAAATTTCCTAGTTTGTGTCAAGTGGACATTTTAAACCTCATTTCAGTTTCTCTCTTTGCATTACAAAATAGAGTCCAGATGAATGGAAATTTCAAGTAATGTTTATATCATATATAGCTTCAATGCGAGCTTGCAGTGCACATAATTTAACATAATTATCAATATGGGTTAAAGAAGTTAATACTTGAACTAAAAGATCTCTTTTTATGTACATGTACTGTGATATGTTTCTCACTACCTATTGCATGTAAGATATGTAAACTTATAATTTTTGACTGTTGTATGTTTTATATTTTAACATTTGTGGTGATTATTTCAGGTGAACAAGTGACCATATTAGGATATAATAAAGGTGGCGAATGGTGTGAAGTTAAAAACAAAGCTGCAGACGTAGGTTGGGTTCCTAGTAATTATATCGCTCCCGTCAACAGTTTAGAAAAATTTTCTTGGTATCATGGTCAGATATCACGTAACGCCTCAGAATATCTTCTCAGCAGTGGTATAAATGGCAGTTTCTTGGTGAGAGAAAGTGAAAGTAGTCCAGGTCAGAGATCAATATCAGTGAGATACGATGGACGAGTATATCACTACCGAATTAGCGAAGATTCTGATTTAAAGGTAAGGATATGTTTATGCTTGTGCTTTGAGGGGTAGCCTGGTGATCAACAGCAGTGCATTGCAGACCTTGAGTGTGTTACCCGATCTAGGCCAGTTGAAGAGTCCCCTGCCATTCAGTTTCCTATAACATAATTTGATCGTCCTTAAATCTGTGCAATTTGTCAGTGGCATGTAATATTTGAATCTGATTAAAATTCTCCATTGGGTTGCACAACAAAGGTCATTATATTGTCTGAGACTCAATTCAAGATAACCTTTCTTGATTGAGACACATTGTATTAAATAAATATGTTTGTATTGACTGTAGTTTAGAAATTCTAATAACAAGAAAGCGTCACTGTATTTTATTGTATTCTCAGGTTTATGTGACATCTGAACATAGATTTAATACATTAGCAGAATTAGTACATCATCACTCCATCCATTCTGATGGCCTAGTCACCACATTACTGTATCCAGCACCAAAACGTAATAAACCCACTGTCTTTGGTTTTAGTCCTGAACCAGACAAGTGGGAAATAGAGAGAACTGAAATAGCTATGAAACATCGACTTGGTAAAATGCATTTATTTGTTATTTAATTCATTTGAATACATAAAAAAATATTTTCGGAATTGTTGGTTATTTAGTTTACCCCTTCTGCCTGTGTAAGTTTATCTCTCTGTCTGTATAAAGAAAAAAAATGGGTAAATATTTTTTAATACTAGTGTGGTTGTTAAATTATATTTGATGACAAATTCCATCCGGTTGCTCAAATACTTGCATATTGGCTAATGGAGCCTTTTACTTTTTGTTTGGCAAGAATACTCAAGGTAGCTGTCCCAGGTTTATTTTAGATAATATTATTAATATGAACAACTGGTGAATTATGTATTAACAAGAACAAAACGAATAAACATATTAACAAAGAAGCCTCTTCTTTGTCAAAGATATCTTACAATTACATGTAGGAATCTTATAAAAGGACTTGTCAAAATATTGATGCTTTTGTGTTTATGTCTGGCTGATCAAGTCTTCCGTTGGTTGTCAAAGGATTCTTATACTAGTCACAGGTTCAAGTATCAGAAAAACAGCCGGCACTAATTTGTTCTTTGTTATAACTATGTCAGTCTTTGATGGGAAACTCTTAGTGATCATTTCTGAATATCAATATTTTGATCAAAAACTTTCAGACAAGGTATTTGCTTATATGTGTGTCAACATATACCTTGTGAAATCTGGGATGGGTCCTTTAAGAAATGTTGACAGTATTAATAGTGTGGTTGTCAGACTCTAGAAAAACCTCTTATTTTATCCGTGAAGTGTACAACTTTACATAAGCTAACACATGACGTATTATCTAAGTTTTACCACATCCATACCCTCCAGATGAACAATTTAGATCTCAATTCTCAGTAAGGTGCAGGTTTTTACTGTTATAGTTTATAGCCCTTTCCTCAAATGTGTACCCCACACCCCGACCCCCTTTATTGGCATGACAAAAACCGTGCACATGTATGATGTATTTTTAGGTGGTGGACAGTATGGTGACGTATATGAAGCAATATGGAAAAGATATAACAAGACAGTAGCTGTTAAAACTTTAAAGGTTCATATATAATTATGATTAAATTATACTCTTGGCTTATTTATTCAAATACCTTCTGGATTTATTTTAGTCTTGGCTAAAGAGAAAACATAGATATTCAGACCACACACAATAGAAACTAGCTAGTCTTACCAATGATTATATTGATTCAGAAATTATTAATATCATCAGTCCCATGGTCATCGAAAGTTCACATTAATTTGAATTGATTTCATACCACCACCTTTATTGTCTTGGAATCATCAGTCATTGACTGATGGATAACTTATTTATATCAATAAACACCAAGTCTAAAATTGTATCTAAGCTAGGGTCTTTTTTCGTCTTAAATTGAAATGAAATGAAATGAAATGGAGTTTAACGTCCTACTGTTCTGCTCCTAACCTGGGCTAATGAAGACGGGGCGTCTTAAATTGAGTAACACATCTAGTGTATTGTGACTTTATAAGTATTTAAGATACTGGAATTTAGAGAAGTTAGAATAATAGAAGTACATGTCATTGTTGGAGTATTATAGTAATATGAAAGATTTACATGTGTTTATAAATGACATTCAGAAATGGCTAGTTAATTATATTTTGTGTATGTATTACAGGAAGATACTATGGCCTTAAAAGATTTCCTAGAAGAAGCCTGTATTATGAAGGAAATCAAACATCCAAATTTAGTACAATTACTAGGTATGTATGATATTATATTTACTTTGTTTGGATGATATTTGGGTTATTTCAATAAAAACCATTATATAATAAATATTATTGTTATTTATGTCAACCTTTATATGTATTACCATCTGTGAGAAAATTCTGCAGCCCATTTAATGACGCTGAAGGGGTTGTTGTCGGCTATAATACTACAAACAAGTATGCAGACTAACCTTTCTTCTCCTGTTATTTTAATGTCTGCCACCACAATAGTGATATAGCAGAAGTGATGAACCATGGGTCAGACTCTTAAATAGTTAAGCACAACCGATGGGATTTGGGATGGATTTGATGGGATTTGGGATGGATTCGGGGTGTTAGTCAGTCATTGAAATCTTTCATTAGTCAAATGAAAGACAATAGGTAGCAGGCTATATGCTCATTAATTAATACGTTGAACAGTTTTACCCAAATATCACAATCTTCCAGAGCTACCCGTCAGGCATAAATTTATGACTGCACACATGACATAAATAGATGCATTCGGTGGAAATAAAATCCGAATTGAAGAAAATAAATGTTTCTGGTAGATATAAGATTAAGAAATTGCTTTTGATTTTTCCTGGCATATTGGGTCATATACTGCAATAACTCACTATCCCACCCAGGGCTGCCGACAACCAGTATCACAGTGCAATTTGTGATACATATTTTGTCCGTTGCTAATCAAAAATTAAAATCTAATGTTTTTGATTCGGAGTAACTGCGAATCATTAATATTCCTGTCATTTTGGCTATTGACATGAAGATTTATCCAAATCTTGAAGACTAGAAGGCTTTCTCAACAATTTCAACGTGTATAAAAAAATTAAAAAAGGAAAAGTACAAATTTATTTCTTGATTATTTCCTTCAAATTGGTCATAAATAAAGCTCAGAAAGCTCAGGTTTCTTCAGTCAGTTAAACTCATTTCTACTTGAATTATTAACATTCTTACTTTTGAACTAAAGATAAGATAATTTTTGTGAACCATCAATCCATTTTTCCCAATAAATTCTTACTTCGACTTAACTTTTTCTTGTAGGTGTTTGTACTCGGGAGCCTCCATTTTATATTATAACAGAATTTATGACCCAGGGTAATTTATTAGATTTTTTACGTACTAATAATAAAGAAGATTTAGGACCAACAGTTTTAATGTACATGGCTACCCAGATAGCATCTGGTATGGCACATCTAGAAGAAAGTTTATTTATTCATAGGTAAGTGGAAATAAAATTATATTCTTTAGTATTGCATCAGTCCACAAAGGATTACATTTGAATAGTCTTCATTAATTCTTGGTCTTGCTTTGACCAGGTTGCTCATCTTTTTCTTGGAGGCCGATGCTCATCAAAAAAAGCCTAATTTAAGTACGATCAACATGAAACTTAGCAGTCTTGTTCATTTGACAATTGTACATCAATTGACTGACTTCGAATTTTGATATGACGTCAACAATTGCAAGCAGAGGTCACAGTCACGCAAAAATCAGCGTTTTTCACGCAATTTTTTCAAAATAAACGCAAATATTGACTGACGCTGCGTAATTTACACGCAGAAAATTTACCGACGTGAGAATAATTAGATTATTGTATATGTGGTAGTTTGTACACTACGTCATCAATTTATGTGCTTCACGTGGCATTTACAAACCGCTACTGTACGTAGTCTCCGTAGGTTTTTATATCCTCTTATTTCATTCATAATCTTTAAGTTCATGGCAGTAAGCCTTCTATACGTAGCTATTCTAAGACACCCCCATTTTTTGCCGTACTCTAAGCAATAAACTAAAGCACATTTCATACAATACTTTGGATTGGCTAAAACACAATCTACTGTTTACATTCCGCCAATCAAATATTGACTTTCGTAGCGATAGTTTGCTCTTTACTTCTTGTCGAAGTGAAAGATTGAAATGACTGCCGTCAACCATAGATATACCATCAACCTCCAGTCTTCATTAGACTAAATACAGTATCAATAAAATAAAAACGCTTAAAATAGGGTTGTTCAAAATCGATTTTACTTGCTTCTATTGAGTATTTTGAGAGGCTCTAAGTCACGCAGATGTGAAGTAAAGGGCAAAAAGGCAAGATTTTGGAATGTCTGCGTATATTTACGCAGCTTGAAATTGATTCACTGCGACCTGATTCCAAGATGGCTGCGATGACGTCATACTCAGTTCCTGGTCCATATAGTACTATCGTACTTGTTTACAATAGATAATCATTAATTATTTAAAAGTCTAGAAATTTATGCCAATGGGATAATGCCTTAACATCAAGTTTTTGTCCAGAAATGAGCTTGTATTCCGAAAATATGATCAGTTTTAACATGCAGTGTACAGGATACGATTCTATAGAATTCTAGTAAAGACTAGACTTAAGACTCCAAAGTAGAAATAGAACTCAGTAATTGTAGTATATAGAATTGTGGCCTTTGTATTTCCAGTTCGATTACTAAATACAATATGGAACCCTAGCTCCTAATATTTCAGTTTTTGTTACTCATAATTTAGCTCACAAGGGATATGCATTGTACAATATCGTTTTCAGACTTAGTCCATGTCATTAGATTTACTACATGTAACAGTTTGAGTTTGATCGCAAGATATTTTGTATTTCCAATTGTTTATATTCTGATGATGTTATAGTTATAAAATGGTTAATGACTTATGACTTTGTTCCAGTGACAAATGAATTGTGCTTAATTATATTACAGAGACTTAGCTGCTCGTAATTGTTTGGTTGGAGAAAATCATCTGGTAAAAGTGGCTGATTTTGGGTTAGCGCGTTTGATGAAAGATGATACATACACAGCTCATGCTGGTGCTAAATTTCCTATTAAATGGACAGCACCTGAGGGTCTGGCATTTAATCGTTTTTCTACTAAATCAGATGTATGGGGTAAGATATTGTCTTTATCAAAATGTTGTTTTTAATAATCTTTTAGTTAAAAATTTGCCATCCTAGCTCAGCCTAATTGGAAGAAAGACATACCTGACGCTTAAAACTCAATACTAGAATACAATGAAGACTGCTTTATGAACTATGATTAAAAATTGTGTTCTTTGTATGTTTTATTTGCCCGACATGTGTAAGTTTATATTAAAAAATATCTTGACTATACGTGAATCAAGGGAGTTAACTCTTTTTTAGGTGCCCAAGTACAGGGCTTGCTACGAGATGCGATGACTTTCGCATTCTCAAAACTCACGGTGACTTGTTTTTGCAGGAGTAGATAGTTCCTTGCGCACTTCGTTCAAAGAATAGTTTTTGCCAAACTCTTTGCTTTTTTGTCAATATTTATCTTTTTTACAAATCAATCTATTTTTGGCTCAATTACAACGCGTTATTATTACTTATTGATTAAGAAGTCAATCAACGTACTTATTGACTACAATAACAGTCATACCATGTGGTTCGTAATCCGAGAAATTAGCACATTTAACATTAATTTTGATAATCCGGTAAAAAAAAACATGTATTCTGATTATTCATAAATGCTCCAGTAAGTTGCCTTTAGTCAAAATGGCAAATAAGGATTTTCTTGGCATCTTCGATGCTTGATCCGTACGAATTCCAGGTAGAATAAACAATAATAGACAAAAACAAAAATTTGTGTCAAATATAAAAAAATACCACTGTGCTGTATCAGCTTATTTTGGCAAAGGCATTTTCTGATAAAAAATCCAAATGACTGATGAACTACTGTTATTACGAACATCTCGCTTTATCCATCGAATAAACAAAAACAGTAATTTATTCATGAATTTTACTGACGTCACCTTCAAGCTGGTACATGAATTAAATACGGAAAATTTCCTGAAAGGTGTACAATGTACCTAAGACTTTCAGAAGGATTACAACGTACCTATTTGTCGTTATTTTTTTGTGGTAATCACATATATTAGCATATTCAGAATACGAAATTCTCCATAACAAATTACCAAAAAAATTTGTTGAAGTTTGGTTATGTTAAAGTAAAGCAGCTAATAATTACCCTATTTCCTACCAGGACCTCATTTGGCCCAATTCTGACAGGTTCATTTCACAATGGATTAAGAACCCTGGTTCTTTACTCATTCATTTTGTTGCTGATTAAACAACTATTTTATTCCACATATGATATTTTTGACTTTATTGGTATGCAGCCTATGGCTCACGTAAAACCAATTTGCGTGAGTAAATTTAACCACTCGCCATACTCGTGCAAGATTAATTTTGCGTGAGCGCTTAATTGCTCGCCATCATTTTCTTGTGGCAAGCCCTGATGTAGGTGTAGCACTGTATACAAGTCATCATTTGTGTTTCTGTTTTCAGCATTTGGTGTATTATTATGGGAATTGGCTACATATGGTATGTCTCCATATCCCGGTGTGGATCTAACAGAGGTTTATCATCTATTAGAAAGAGGCTACAGAATGGAACGACCAGCCGGTTGTCCAGCTCATGTTTATCAACTAATGCTCAAGTGTAAGTTTTCATCCTCCTGTAATATAATGAAACAGATAGGTTAATAATTAAAATTACTATTGACGAGAAAATATTGGTATATTTGTTATATTTTAGGCTGGCAATGGGAACCGAAAGATAGACCAACATTTAAGGAAATACATTATCTATTAGAAAATATGTTTGACATGTCCAGTATTAGCGAAGGTGAGCATTAATTTACGGGTGACACAGATTAACATGCCTCGAAATGTTGAAAAAAAAGCTATCTTGTAAGCGACAGGTAGCTTTTCTTCATACTTGTTGCTTCAGTGGCTAATCTGTCACTCTCAATTATACACTACCAATTACGTCATTGGTTCACAAATACTCTTAAATTGTTTTCGTCCTTACGTATATATATATATATATATATAAAAAAAATTTATCTGGACAGATTTTTTTATTTATTTATGCATTTATCTACCGTAAATGACATAATATGACACAGCTTTATTTCTTCAACATCAGAAGGCCTAAAAAAATTCCAGTAAAAATTCTTGCAAGTCCGTGAATCAGCTTTGGCTCAGCGACTTGAAGATTCGCGAAATTCTCGAGCCTAATCCAAATACACATGAATTCTGCCAAGTATCAAATATGTACCAAACTTGAATATAAAGGCTAATGACTTTGCCTTTGAATATCAAAACATGACTTCACACCTGTGCATGCACTGAGCCTATATTTACCCCGTGTGGAGGACAGGGGGTTGGATGGTCAAATGGTTAGCCTGTGTGCGCTGTATCATAAGGCCTGTCATTGAGTCAACTGGCATGGTTTCGAATCCCTGGTTGTATCTGACAAGGAGTAGGGTCGCCTCTCTAACCTCATGGGTTTTCTCCGGGTCCTCCAGTCTCCTCCCACTGCTAAAGACCCCTACGCACTGTTCATTTGAAAATAAGTGTGCCCACAGTAATAATTTTACTTACCCGATTCTGACAGGTCTGGATTTTTATCAATCGAAAATTACCTATATATATATATTATCGTAAAGGAATATATTTAACTGCAGTGTGTTCAAACTGTTATTTTGTACCTTGTATTTATTCAAAGATGTGTGTTCTGGATGTGTGTAAATGGATAATTTTCTCTTATTTAAATCCTTTATTTTATTATCAACAGAAGTGGAAAAAGAACTAGAGAAAAACGATAAAAAGAAAGTACCAGGTCTTCCGTCCAAGAAATCTCGTGCCCAGACTATTGAAAATTCAGATTTTATGGAGGGAAGAAGCAGTGCAGGTATGAATACGAATGTTAAAGGTGGATGAATTTCCGGCGTTGTTTCCCCATGTCAGTTGTGCAGCAGGAAGTGTCTGGCAAAGAACAGTGTTGAATCTTGCAGGATTTAACAAAAAAACAAGGTTAATGTACATGTTGGCATGCACGTTAAAGAACCCTGGACAGTTGGAATTCGAGATAAGAATAGGCGTTAGCGCTGCAGCTCGGAAAAAATTTCCATCATGGCACACTGCATATGGTGTGTGCCCGTCTTCATTAGCCCAGATGGTGCAGAAAAGTAGGTCGTTAAAACCCATTTCATTTTATATCCAATAATCTTTGTTTCTATAATACTTTGGTAGGCCTAATTAATTATGAATAATTGCTTTTCTTTCAGGACCCACTCCACCATCAGGTAGACGTGTTCTGCCTCCACTTGATGATACAGATGTTATGTTACGTCAGGCATCTGATGCCTTGAGTCGTAAAACATCTAAGAAAAAGGCAGGTCCAGCTCCAACCCCACCCAGAAGAACAACATCGTATCGAGATAGTCCTAGTGAACAACCTGATTTAGATTCTGAACTAAAATCACGAATGAAGCTTCAGAAAGCAAAATTAGAAAGTGTAACAGTTGTTGAGGATATGGAGGATCCAGATGGTCTCGATAATTTATCAGCTGTTGATCCAGCATCTAGAACTGCTAAGATTACTTCGCGCTCAAAACATGAAAGTGGCTCACCTAAATTTCAACCGCGAGATGCCTATCCATCACCTGATGACAGTGGAACAGGAAAATCAAGCTCAGATATTTTAAAAATGGCTCAGATAGATAAATCAAAATACCTTATTTCTGAACAAAATGCACGAAATTTTGAACCAGGAACAACAGAGAGGAGTAGTGGCAGACAACGTATCCTGCATCGTAGTGCTAGTCATGATCAGAAAAAAGTGCGGCCCGAAAAAGAGACGAGCACAAGTGAAGAAAGCGCAGAAGCTGGACAACATCATGCTCAAACAGGTGGACAATATCCTAAAAAGGCAATTCCCTTACCGCAACATTCACAGTCGGTTCGTAAAAAAAGTACGCCTCACCGTCCAGATGTCCAACATATGAACTGGACTGCCGAGGATGGAGATAAGAGAAATGGTAGTGGTCAGCAACTTAAATTAGGTAAACTCGATGTAACAAATGTAACAAAAGCGATTAATCGTTATGGACCCATTCCAAAAGGTGTTCGAATAGGAGCTTATTTAGCTTCTATGGAAAATGAACAAAATAACCACAATCGTGAATTATCAACAATAGATGATCAAGATTCTGGAACCGATACAGCTAGTGTGATATCATGTCCTCAATTAAAAGAAAATGGTAAAGTTTATGCTAAAGGGGGACGAGGATTAGGTGGGGGTCAGGCTAATGCTGATGGTGAACAGGGGATAAAACAAACCCCCAATTTAAAGCCATCGGCTGTTGTCAAATCACAATCTTCACATATAATAGTAGAAAGTCCTAGCACAAATGCGAAACCACAGTATTCTAGCTTACTTCAACGCCATAAATCAGATCTGACGTCCAAGAAAGGTAACAATTTGTCTGGAAGTAAAACGGATCTCACTTCACATAAATCAGAAACAGATCTGACGAATACGGGCGAAGATCAGTCGCCCAATAGGGCAGACACACCGGTACAAAAGCCAAAACCCAGTCCCAGATTTAGTAGAATTTTTGCTGATGTACAAGATCAAATGTCGGCCAGTGTTAACTTTGGATCACCTCAGGATAATGGAGGGTCATTCCGAGGTATTCATCAAAAGCAAGACTCTGACCCTGGACCTCCTCCAGGTGAAGCTTCTTGGGGTCCAAATACCTTTCATGTCGGTGATAGTGCCAAGATTTCAAGAACAGCTTTCCATTTGAAAGCTAAGTCAGCCGACGACAGTCTTAGTGGTGGTGGTGAGGTAGATCCCACATTGGATAGACAGAGGAAGGACAGTACTCAAATCCAACCAGAAGATCAAACAAGCAAAGTTTCTTCATTTAAACCTTTTAATAAAACAAATACTGTTAAAGAGACCAACTTGGATCAAGTGACCGCGGAATTATTAGCTGGAAATAATGCAAACCAGGATAAACAAAAAGATGAGACCATTTACAAACCTGTGTTTCCTTCTTTAAAACCTGTTGGAGGTAAATCTCCGGATCCTATGACAACTTCCGTCATCGAATTATCCCAAAATCTTGATCCAGTATCTTCGGATTCGGACGCTCCAGCTGTTTCTAAAGATGCTATTTTGAATGCATCAGACAAACTTAAATCGTGTATTGATAAACTGGCTTTAGTAGGGAACAAATCTAGCACAAATTTCATGTTGTTGTCTGAGGAAGTGCAAGGATTTTACAACCTGTGTTCTCAATATATAGACTCGTTACCACCACACGCAAAGTTTCACACACGAGAACTCTTGTCTCGATTACAATCCCATAGTCAGAATTTAAAAACATACACTAGTAATACTCCATCGGGAGGTGGTCGCCTTCTAACAGACATTCAAAGCACTAATAAAGAAATAATGACCGTTATAGAGAGGTGCTAATTAGGTGTCTTTGAATGAATGGATGATAGAAATAATAATTTAAAAAATAATATAATGTGACATGGATAAAAGTGATTACCTATTAGGGTTAATTTTATTTGTATAACCTAGTATTTATAAACGGTGAATATTGGCGATCGTTGATTTAGGCATTTGTGTACATCAATAACTTTGTATTATTTCATTTTATGGTTGTTGAAAGAAACTAGTAAGATTATTGCCGGATTTTATTTATTGATATTGATTAGATTATTTCTCAAAACTTAAAAGCAAAAGATCAGTAATAATAAATTGTGTTAGATGAATGATTTTCGAATTTGTAAAATTGTCAGTGTTTTGGATCACTAGTTAATGTGGCTAAAATTGTGTGAAGACAGTTTTTTGCGACCATTTGCAACCTCATTGTACAATAAACCTTTTTTCAATGGCTTTGGACAAAAAAAAAAATGGATTTACTCATCTGTGTGTAGATGTATTGGATAATGTGAAAAGGATCAATCACTGATGTTTTTGCGTGTGACAAAATGATATTTAAACGCTAGCATGTTTTGCTTCAAATTATATATTTTTTCTAAGTTTTTGTTAAATTATTACATAATTTGTATTCAATGTTATTGCAACTTTCATGTTACTCATCCGAAATACATACGTACATGATCAGATTATTAATCAAGGTTTAGATTGTATCAATGTCTTAATGCCATCAGATTAACATAATGGTTTCAAGCTTTGGACTTTCATATTACACATTATTTTGCTATTTTTGCAATTTTTACTTCAAAAATATGAACATTATAACATGCTTGTATAAATACAGGATTATTATGGTTTTGTTAGACCAAATCGCCAAAAGCAGGAAAGCTCGACACACGTTTCTTGATAGATATTTGTAGATGAACAGTATTTAAATAATTGTTTAAAACAGTTATATTCAATCTTGTTAGATTCTCAGCTATTTTCTTTTTGTGTAATGTTTGTACATGTAGATAGTCCAAAATATAGAATTGCTCAGAATTCAATCAATTTGAAATGTTAAGGTCACAGTTGAAGTGATGAAGATATGAAAGTAGTATAACAGTGTACTATTCTGCCTTGTTTATAGACTTATTTTAATGGTGAACTTTTGTACATTCAGTTGTGTTTTAACTTGTATTTTAAAGCTATGATAGTATTTACCAAGCTCTTGTATATTGTATATAGAAAACTGGTTATATTCTACGTATTAGATGAAAGAAGTACAAATGGAACAAAATGCTTTATATTTTTTAGCCCAATCACTCATATACATATAGATGTGTTATATAGAAGTATCTTATATAAATATATAGAAAAATTTTCCTACATTTTTATAAGCCATTTGTTTGTTCACCTTTAAGAATTATCAACTGACTCAAGAATGTCATATTTTTCTCATACATGGGCTTTATGATAAAAGCGTAAAACAAACGGCTAAATAATATTAATAGCCTACATTGAATCCCTTTAATTCAGACTTTTTTGCAGAAGGCAAAAAGTTTAGTCTTCAACTTTTTCATTTGTACTTGGTTGACAGACAAAAAAAAATTACCAAAGTCTAATGAAATGCATTACATGTATCATTTATATTACTGTGTTTTGCCTTGGTCCTTCTTTGAACTGCAAACAATTTATACCAATTATTACAAACATGGCTTATAGATTTATACAAGTGATGCTTTCCTTTCTTGCTACACTACAGGGTTTTATTATTCTTTCAACAAGTTCCTTTATATATTATATCTTTATTTTTCATCAATTGTTTCCTATATGTTATTCTAATTTGACATTTATAGATTTACTCATTTCACATTAAGAGTTAGCTTCATTATTTTCACATAAATGTACATGTTTGTCAACTAAGTTCTAAGAAGGTCTAATTAATCTGCATCCATTCAATGAGGGGATAACTTCTGTTTTCAAAACATGCAACTACACCATTCATGAATTTGATTTTATGTGCATCTAACACAAAATTATCAAAATGCAAACTATCTTATTTTGAAATGTTGATTGTCTTGATATCTGATTTGGGTAGAGCACTAGGTTGCGTTAAATATTCTAATAATCAAGTATTGTGAATTTGTCTCTTGGAACTGGCTAATAAGGTTGTAAATTTACTGTCAAATTTATTCATTTCTGCTCAAGTATTTGTTTTCAGTATTGTAAGTATTATGCACCCACAATTATATAAGTACCATTGTAGAAATATACATTTTATTTAATCAGAATTTTATTTTGTGTTTACTTATATTATGTAATTAGGTAATGGCATTTAATTAAACTAATCATTTATTTCATTTCTGAATGAGCGTAGATCTAAGAGCCATTCTTCATTTTTATACGTCCACATTCATAATGTGAACGTATTATGCCGTCGCCCCTGTCTGTGTGTGTGTGTGTGTGTGTGTGTGTGTGTGTGTGTGTGTGTGTGTGTCTGTGGTTCGCCTACAGGGCGCAATTCTTCATGGATTTTCTTCAAACTTGGTATACTTATTCCTTATACCCCAAGGAAGATCCCTATTGTTTTTGGTGCATGCCCGACCCCCCGGGGCAGAGCCACGCCCATTTCTAGTATTTGTTTGTTTGTCGTCTACAGGCCACATTTCTTAACTAATAATCTTGAAACTTTGCATACACATTCTTTGTACCCTAAGGAACATCCCTATCGTTTGGGGTGCATGCCCAACCCCCAGGGGCAGAGCCACGCCCATTTTCTTTTCGTGTGTCTTTGTGTCGCCTACAGGGCGCAATTCTTACTGGATTTTCTTCAAACTTGGTATACTTATTCCTTATACCCCAAGGAAGATCCCTATTGTTTTTGGTGCATGCCCGACCCCCAGGGGCAGAGCCACGCCCATTTCTAGTATTTGTTTGTTTGTCGTCTACAGGCCACATTTCTTAACTTATAATCTTGTTTTCTATTATTTTTGGTGCATGCCCGACCCCCTGGGACAGAGCCACGCCCAAAATTTGTGTGCCTTTTGTGTCGCCTACAGGCCGCCCAATTTTTATGTTTATCGTTTACTTGGCAGATGTATTCCTTATAGCCTAAGGGCATCAACTATTGATTTTGGGGAATGCCCCGACCCCCAGGGACAGAGCCACGCCCAATTTTTGCCTTTAACGCCCAAAGGCCACAATTTTGAATGGATTATCTTGGAACTTGGTATACTTATTCCTTATACCCTAAGGACGGCAACTATTGATGTTGTCATTTCAATAACAGGATATGGTCCCTATTTATATTGTTTCCATATCCAACCCCCACGGGCAGAGCCACGCCCAGTTTTTGTATTTATCGTCTACAGGCTGCAATTCTGAATGGATCATCTTGGAACTTTGCATATTTATTCCTTATACCATAAAGACAGCAACTATTTATTTTGATGCTTGCCCCGACCTACTGGGGCAGTCTCACACCCACTTTGTTAGTATTTTGTCTGTAAATTTGGCAAAACAAACCCGACGCCTAGCCTTCTTTGCCTCTGATCATATTACAGGCATTTCATATTTCATTCTCTTCATTTTAAAAAGTACCATATCAATCAAAGCTGGAATGTGGACGTATATTGCAGCGTTAGCGATGCTCTTGTACTATGTAGAAGCATAAAAGGTATTTGATAGACAACAGCTCAAGCTTCATTTAGGCTAATAAAATATATTTTAACATTATGGTCCCTATTGATTTGATCCCAAAGATTAGGATTAGGTAATTTATTAAACATTATGAATTGATCAACCAGATTAAAGCATTTGTGATTATTTAGACATAATTGTAGAAAAATAAATAATTCTAAAGAGATTATACTGTTTTCTGTGAATAATTTATTTTTATAATCACTACTCTCTTTTTAAAACTTGTTTCTGACACTTATGGGGAATTACATTACTGATCATATAAAATACTTACCATCAGTTGTATAATTGCTAAATACTGTATCTATATAGAAAAATAGAAATGCAATTTATATTATAAATGTTATTGAGGTTTTATTTCAATTTTGAAAATGTCAGGCAATTAAAAATTGGATTAGCTAATATTTAAACCTTCTTATAAAACAAATCATTCATTACTTTGTTCAGAATTTTGTGTTTTTACAAGATGATTCTAAATGAATTTATATAATTAAATTATTAATCCACTAAAAATTAATGGCAAATATTGCATCTAAACTCAGTATTTTATCTTCCTAATAATTTATTATGCTTAAAGTAGCTAAGTCTCTAACTCAATATCATCCAAAATCTTCGACATTGAAAACACGATTTATTTGTCTGTTTAAATCAACAATTATGTTGTGATCTTACCGGGAAAAGATGGCTTTCTGATATCCAATATTTAAGACAAAATAAACATTTTACAATTGGTACACGAATTGTGTACCATAATGCGTTTCAGCGCTATTTGTAATAAGGGACTCGGAAAACTAGGCTAGGCATATTCCACAAGTCATGTCAAACGGTAACACTATATTCTTATCTGGAGAGCATGCCCAATAAATACTATCGGCGTAGACTGGAATAACCAGAAGCTAGAGATTGAAATTCGATTGAGAATACTGGCGTATGTCGCCGAACCTAACTCATTAGAAATTACAGTAAAAAAGAAACGATTGAATGTAAATCAATTTATATACATTCATATTACATTATTGTATGCGTTGCGACCCATTTGTGTCAATTTCTAGGTCCCAAATATTAGCGACTTAGCTCCTTTAAACTTTGCTTATTTCAACATAACTGGTATAAAGTAAGCAGGACAATAATATTTATTTTTAGGATACAGAAGCAAATCAATTAATTAGTTTATATTAATCAGTTTCCTAATAATTTATTTATCTCAATATAGATATAAAAATATTTATGTTTTTTTAAGTTTAAAATTGCTAGAGTTTTTTGAGTTGTGAAAAGAATAGATTTTGTTCCACCACTAATTGAAATAATCCATTTGATCAACCAATTTCAAAAGTATTTTTTTTTTACTTAAATAAGAGGTTATCTCCTTCGCAAAAAGTTCCTTTATGTCCTACTATCTGGATGAGTAGGAAAACAGAATATCTTGAGTGCTAGTAATAACCAAAGTACAGCACACTTTCGAACACATTAATGATTTAATACTTAAGAGATACAAAGGATAGAATATTATTAATACAAAAGTACAACAAATACTGTTACCTATGTAAATAGAGTCCCAACCTTGTTAATCCGTACATTTAAGTTCCAATAAAATTGTCTGGACTGCTGGATCAGACCTATTTATTATAACATCTTTTCTCCCTTTTTTGTCTGAAATTATTTCGCAGGTTGATCTATAAGATATATTTTACTTTATGCCAATCCTGATGAGTCGGACCTCAACAAATACCAAATGATACTTTCTACAATTATTTTTATAACAATATAGGAACTTATAAAATATTGTCTTGGCTCTATGCTCATTATATATGTAATGCACATCTAAATTTGATTTATTTTTCTGTGATATAATTAATATGTACTTCTCTGTTTTATTGTTATCAACAGTATAAAAAGCTTCAAATTTTCTTTTCATATCAACAGTAAACTACTTTCTTATTTACTTGACGATGATATCATTAATTAATTTAATGATCGTGAAAATGGTTGTTTATTTTTGTTTGTTTTTTTTATTTTTTATCCCCCCCATTTCTCCCTTGTTTAAATGCATTTTCTTTATCATTTTACTAACCAATTGCTTGTATATTTTTGTGTCTTTCCTAGTCTATGATTTATATTATGTAATATGATTATTGTATATTTCATTTTGTCATATCACACATCTGATATATATATATAAACATATGTAAATAACAATATTTATAAGTATATAATATATATATATTTCTCAGCTCCTATTGTCTGAGTGTGCTGTGAGTGTAAACAAAGCCTGCATCAGAGTATCTTTGAAGAATTCTCCCTGGGATGGGAATTTTCAATAAGGTCCGAGTTTCTTGATATTAAAAAAAAAAAAAAAATGTGAAGATGTAAATCAAATCTATTATTCATATAATCCATTAACAGTAATATTGTATTAAAGTATTTACTTGTAAATTTAAATGGGGCTCAATCTAGGATTTATTTATAGTTAGTCCAGACATGGCTAGTTTTACTATGCAGTATAGATTATAGTCAGGGAATGCCAATATCTTCTACTTATAGTGAACACCCATTCCCTACAAAGTAGGTTTAACTTTACTCTTTCTTTCGAAATACTATAAATATATAATGGACAATAGTCTATGATTGAACTTGATGCCACTATACTTGAGTAGGGAGCCCAGCTTATGTTATACAATGTGGAAAATTGATTATTAAAGGATTTATCTAAATTAAGAAAAGGATTTAACAAGCTTTGTGCAATGTAAGTCTGTATTATGTAATAAGCCAAATTTTTTTGTAATGATTTTGCATTACAAAGGAGGAATGAGTGTGTTTTGGGAAAAGGGGGTGGGTGGGGGTAATTCACCTAATGTACATTTATGTCTAACAAACTTAATTAAAAACTGGAAAATAATTGAAATATGTCGTTCTCTTTTGTGTTTAATTTATAGAAAAGGGCTGTTTCAAGATCCATTTAGCTAAATTAAGTAGAACAGATCTACTGCTTGACTTTTGTAGCTGAACATGTATTTATGAATATACATACTATGTCCATGTGTGATGTGTTTTGTTCAAGGGTTTGTCTTGTGTGTTTCACCTTCACTTACTATTAGGTCAGAATAAACTATTCAAGAGATTAGATCTGATTTGTATTAGTGAGGGGGGTTTGGTGGCCGAATGGTTAACCCCTGCACGTTGAATCAGAGGGTCTGACATTAAGTCAAGTGGCGTGGTTTCGATTCTCTGCTTGTACGTGACAAGGAGTAGGGTCGACTGTCCAACCTCGTGGGTTTTCTCCGGGTCTTCCAGTTTCCTCCCACTGCTAAAGCCATGTACGTGTTGGATCAGATGGTTTGTCATTAGTCAAGTGGCATGGTTTCAGTTCCCTGCTTGTACGTGACAAGGAGTTAGGTCACCTGTCCAACCTTGTGGGTTTTCTCCGGGTCCTCCAGTTTCCTGCTAAAGACACCTACATGCAAGCAAATTATTGAAATAAAATTGAACCATATTTTAGTCCCAAAATGACCTAGTTTGTGTGGAGTGGATGTTAAACCCCAGCTAGCTCGCTCTCTCTCTCTCTCTCTCCCTCTCTCTCTCTCTCTTTATTCTAATGATAGGGAAGGCTCAAAACTTTCTAGACAGGTCCTGGTCCCAACTAGAAATGGAAAACAGAAGAAACGCTACTCATAAAGTGTGTGCATTGTCAAACACCCTGCCTCTGAAAAAAGGAGAAACCAGGTTTCTAAAATCATGAGGTTCTGCTTGCCCCATGCATACAATACTGTCCTTATACAGCTCTGTGCCCTTACATTCATAAAGTGGATTCCAGGTAAGGTATATTAAACACCCTTTTTGGACAGCCTGTAATAATATATAATTATGTCATATCAGAAGACAATATTGAAATGGAGCATAAAGAAAAAGAATGAAATGAATAAACAACCTGTAATATATAATTATGTCATATCAGAAGACAATATTGAAATGGAGCATAAAGAAAAAGAATGAAATGAATAAAAAAAAGTATGAAAGATAAAATGGGACAATGTAGGCCTAACATATTAAATATTAAAATTGTAAAATGATTTATTAATTTCGCTTGACAAGGTAACAAAGTCGTTGCTTTCTGAAAGTATCTAAAAAAAATATCTAATTTTTTAAGTTAAAATCGTGAAATGAAAATGTCCATAAAAATATAATAAATATCCAACATTACACCTGTGGGCGTTGTAATACCAACTTACACCCATGCCGAAATTGAAACATAAAGTGAATATTTTGTTTAAAATGTTAATTTTGTGCATGAAATGTCGACATAAAAATGTAGAATTAGAAACAACAATTATGAGTTTAAAATATTTCTTTCGTTATGGAACTTATAATACAATATAACAAGGTCCATACTTTTTTGAAACTGAAATGTAGAAACACCAATCATGAATATTGTCCCATTTCGTCTTCCATATAAAAGTTCTGATTCAGCCATCGAACTGTACTGAATAATACGACCCATGATTCAGCAAAAGCGTCAAAACAAGACTTGTTTATCCAGTCGCTCACTCATCGCACATTTTGTTTAGGCAATAAAGAGCAAATATCTAGTTGGTTTGGGGGTTTTCTTTTTATTAGAAAGAGGGGGTATAGTCGGAGGGGCGGGTAATATAATTTTATATGTAACTGGGTATAATTAAATCTTTTGAAGCAGTACTTAAAATTATGGAAAATAATGCCACAACAATGTCCAGGTATTCAAGTCTACAGTGAAATAAATGGACTATTCCATCTAATACGCGTTATTATTGAACTGACCCGTTTCTGTATTGGCCACAACAAGCCAGAAAAGTGAAAGTCCGATATATTTTAAGCTGTTTGTATTTTTCAAGAAGGTTTTTAGCACAAACTTATCATGTCGGAAACGATACCGATATTTCCGAAAGTTGGCAATATTTTAGTACAAAGTGGAAACATTGTCAACTGGAATAGATTAAAGAGAAAACCAAATAACACATCAACAGAAGAGGTATGAATCAATGTTAAAAATATTTAATATAGACAAGTTGGACGAGGGGCAAGGGACACGGAGCAATGGGTATGGTGAGGGGGGGGGGGGGGGGCTCACAGTTGAGTGCAGGTGTTAACAGTAGGCTACACAAACAAAAATTTGTAGCTTACAGTTACCGGTACTGGTTTGCTGGTAATGTATCTAATAACTGCAGTCTAAAGCCCGGCCCATACCGCCACGACTTGCCCAGACTCTACCCAACGCAACGTTTTGTCTCAGATAATCAGTGCAGTGTGGACAGTCCCACGACCACGATTCATTCGATTTCCATCGCGCCGTGGCCCGTCAGCCCAATTGAACATGTTCAATCATAGTCGGATGCAGTTGGTTGCAGTCGTAACTTATCGTGTAACTCACGACGCATAATCTGTGGTCGGGCCTGTGTGGACTGGTACCGTCGTAGGCAAGTGAAGTAAAGGCGCGACCCAATTTTTTTTTACAACTAACCAAGAGCTGAGTCCTGTCGGCTTGCGTGTAGTCGTAGCGGTATGGGCCGGGCTTAATATAGTAAAAATACAAAAAATCACTTGGGAACCCCAATCAATCATAGTTTTAACATTTTGAGGGGCCCCATTTTGACTACCGTAGTTACTTTAACAAGAGCTAGCCACTATCAGACATCATTGCTAAAGTATTAACTACATTAGAATTAGAGTATTGGTTTGCTGGTAGTAATTAGTATATCTATAGCTCCCATCTAATAACACCAATATAATGTCCACTAAAATCATGATAACGACAACAATTTCAACAGACTAGAAACATAGTTTTAACCTTAGTGAATGGCGTCCGTGCTGACCCATCTTTGCCAATCACGTCATCTCATCTCATAACAATGAGAAAATGCAGATTTAAGGGTGGCACGAAGCAGGTTGCAGCAGAGCGGGCATAAAACTTGAAATAAACTTCTTTCTGAAGTTCTATAGCTGGATATAATCCCCTAATTACCTGGTCTGATTGTAGGGTGGTCTATGGAGGGTCACCTATTTATTCAGTATTGGTTTGCTGGTAGTAATTAGTATATCTATAGCTCCCATCAAATAACACCAATATAATGTCCACTAAAACCATGATAACGACAACAATTTCAACAGACTAGAAACATAGTTTTAACCTTAGTGAATGGCGTCCGCGCTGACCCATCTTTGCCAATCACGTCATCTCATCTCATAACAATGAGAAAATGCAGATTTAAGGGTGGCACGAAGCAGGTTGCAGCAGAGCGGGCATAAAACTTGAAATAAACTTCTTTCTGAAGTTCTATAGCTGGATATAATCCCCTAATTACCTGGTCTGATTGTAGGGTGGTCTATGGAGGGTCACCTATTTATTCAGTAAATTCAATCATCCTGAGAGCTATTAAATTTCAATTATGAGATTGATGCAAATCACCATAGATAACTTCCCCCTTAACTGTCTGGCAGATGGGTAAAGTGAAAAGAAATTAATATTGAGCCTATCATTTGGTTGGTCAAATAAAGTGCCCCGAATCTAATAAAACAGTAATTTTACTTTTCTTTTAATTGAATACCTTGAATTTGACTATGGAATAAAAAATTTTGACACGGGGGGGGGGGGGGGGGGTCTAGTGGTTTAACACATGCTCATGACACCACAAGGTCTGTCATCGAGTCAAGTGACATGCTTTCGATTCCCGGCTTGAACATGGCAAGGAGTAGGGTCATCTATTAAACATCGTGGGTTTTCTCCAGGTCCTCCAGTTTACTCCCACTGTAAAATATCCCTGCACGCAAGGGAATTATTGAAATAAAATCCACCCATATGTTAGTCCTGAAATGTGTGTCGAGTGGACATTAAACCCCATTTCTCTCTCTCGCTATATCCACTCTGTGCGACATTTTTCGGGCATACTTACCAAGACCTTAACTCTCGATGCCATCGGATGGCTCCGATATTTAGTAGATTCTATTACATTTTGTGGTTGATGAAATAAGCGTAAAAATGGATAACCATCACTTTGTTTATTTATTGTAATAACGATAGTAATGACAATCGAGGCTGGACTATAATTGTATTGACGATAGCTTGGTTCAGAGCTGAAGTAATTTGACAGAACTTTTCATATATATTCTCTTTTCAGTACATGTATCTATTTTTTTTTAACTGTAGCGAGAACTATCAGCTCTTTATCTAATCTTACCTAATGCCGCTTTAAAAGTTAACTCATGGGCTAGAATAGCAGAAAAGAGCATTTACAGAGGTTAAATATTCTTGGGGAGAGTGAGGCCCCTCATACCCTTCTGCTCCTTGGACATGACGATTGATTGGTTGTCTGGAATTCATGTCAGCCCACCTAAGTTGCATGAAGACTATATTGGACCATGTTGCTGCCATTAAATTTTCCAAATTTTCTCCCGGCTGTTGCGCCTCCGTGGACTGTAAACTATAAACAATTGAATCATTGAATGGAATGAAGGTCAGCCACTTATGTTAGGTTATATTATTAGACCACTTTAAGTTGCTGTATTCACAGGCTGGAATAGCAGGAAAACATGGTTCTGCAGCCGTCAAATTTCCTTGGGGGCCCCAACATGGGTAACTCTGCACGATTGGCTCTCACTGATGACCAGCGTGGCTGTCTGTAAAGGGAATGTTTTCGGGCATTGCAGGTATGCCTCTCTAACATTCACCGGGCCTGAATACCTGTGTAAATCACAAACTGAAAAATTACACCACTTTGAACAGATGACACATGAACTCACCCAATCAGTGATATTTCTTTATAAATTATTCTTAAATCCTTTTCATTCTATTTTTTGAATGGTGGCTTCTATATATCTGTTATATATCAAACATTCTTATGGTTGCCGAAACTGAGTGTTCGGAAAATAAAAAAAGTGAGTTATAAAAATAGTGTTTAATATAATTTTCCAGAGAATTTAAAAGGAGTGACTCAGTATTACACTTAGTCATGCCATGACAGATCGAAAATCCTACTAAAAATTTGGGAGAAAAAACAATCATCGCAACTTTAATGATGTTGAGATATGTATTGCATGGATTTATCTTTGAATTATGGGTTATTAACAATTGCTACATTATATTGCCTAAGTTGTAATACTAACTGCTCTACTGGAGGTGAGCAGGGCTTGAGAGTTGAGACCATCTCAATGTGGAGCAGGGCAATGTCAGACCTGGTGCAATGATCTTCGTCTGGTGCATTCAGTAAATTATCAAATCTGCAGACAATTCATGTCCAAACCATAAGAACTGTTTGTAATTTACTATTATTAACAATATAAATTGTTTTTACCATATAATTTTATTTATTTTGTAGATTTGTGAATGTGTTTCAGTGTGTTTAAGTAATTACCTAAAAAGAGCAGACAGAAATCAGCTTCAGGTATTTCTTCGACTTTATAATTCATCCGACAATCTTCGATATTCCAGTATTTTCAGATGTGTCACCCATATAGTCCTCGTCTGGACCTCTTGTGTACATGTAGGTGGGAGGAAGGATTAACCCTGAAAGTAGAATTATTGCTTATTTGCAATTAAGATTCATTTATATTTAACAGTGGCATAATTAGTGAAACCAAGAACCCCTGTTGAATTTTAACAGTTATGGCACTTGCTTCACATGCAGAAAGAAACTTGTGAACGCTCTATTAACAAAACTTATTTATGAAATTGAAATGCATTATTAAAATTTTGCATTTCTACAATTTCTGATAACTCTGATTATAGAACTATTGCCCTTGTCATAGAATCTTGTTAAAGTGGCTCTGATTTTATGCAGTATATAAAGATTTTGCTCTTTATATATCTAAAGATTTCCAATGTGACAACCGCTGTGGACTGTTTCGTTGTCTAGCCACCTATCTTTATTTTCTGACAGTGGTAACTTATACTTTCATATTTAATTAATATTTCAGTATGCTACAGAATTAGTTTGTGAAAATAAAGAATTTATTGAATCATTACCTGCAGAGAAGCGAGATGATCTGAAAATCACTGGTAAATTCTTGTTAATTGAATAAATAACAATGATAAATATTATTAATTAAAAGTTTAAGGCAAAAAACCCTTTTTGATTTGGGTCAAAAGAAGTGTTTAATTGGGTTGATCGGATGTGTTATTGTCCCCTGCCTTCTGTCCATCACACTTTTTAAGACACAATAAATTTATTTCTAATTGAGGTAGAATGTTCAAACTTGGTGTAGGTATTTATTAGTTCAATGCCTTAACAGTGTTCAATTATGCACATTTTGCACTATAGCTAAGCAGAGATAAGCAATTTGATTGGTTGAGGCTTTAGAACACAATATTTTTGGTTCTAATTGGTGAGAGTGATGAAACTCATGTATAGAATCATTATATCAATACCTTGCTTAGGCTAAGTAGCGATAAGCAATTTGACTAGTCAAGACTAGCAACCCTGCTTTTAATTGAGGTAGAATGCATTATGTTTAAACAATATGAAGATGTTCATTAGTTGAATGTCTTCACTGATTAAAATTTTTTGCTAAAGCTAAGCAGAGCTAAGCAATTTTTTGATCGATGCTTTGGGACAAGATAACTTTGATTCTAACTTATGAAGAGTGATGGAGTTTCACTACCAGGTACTTCAAAACCTTAACTGAGTTTGATCGTGAACATTATCTGCTTAGACTAAGTATAGTTAATCAGTTCGATTGCTTTACACCTTTCAAAAAGATATATGTGCAATAATTGATATGTGTCATCTATTTATTTTGTGATTGTGGCGGGGAACATCAGCCTTACCGCTGGCTTGTTTCTATTAGTGTTGGAACTGGATTTAAACAATTAAATAATCATTTCAAAATATTAGAGATACATTAGTTAAGAGTTTAGTAAAGAGTTGGTCATTCTTGCTATAATAATTCAAAAATAGATGATAAAACAAGAAAATATTGAAAATTTCATTCAAGTTACTTCATTCTCAGCCAAGTTATCATTGTTTGTAGTTTTGACAAGATGTGTGCACAGTGGTAGCCAGAGCACTGGTATAATCGGGACTTAACCTCGCTTTCCCATTTTTAAATTAAATTTTTAATTGGCGATTCGTTTCAATCTAGTTAAAATCTTGAGTATCCGATGCCATCGAGAGTCGATTAAGGTCTTGTTTTGTTAATTAATGTCTAATTAATAGTTTATTTAACATTTCATGCCTAAAGAAAGACCTGCAATAGGCAGAATTAGCTCTTGCATAATGTATGTTTAAAGAAAGTCAAAAATAATATTTATACGCCCACATTTTCATGTGGATGTATTATGCCGTTGCCCCTGTTTGTCCGTCCACAATTTGGTTATGTACACACTACATGTCACAATTTTTATCTGATTTCAACGAAACTTGAAATATAGGTTTATCTCCCTAAGATCTCGGTTCCTTTCGATATTGGCATGTATCGGACCGTAACTTCATGGATTATGGCCCCTGATTAGCTTGTGGACCCTATAGAGGTCATAATTTTAATCCGATTTTGTTTAAACTTGAAATGTAAGTTTATAACCCAAAGATCTCAGTTCCTTTCGATATTGGCGCATATAAGACCTTAACTTGTGTACACTATAGAGGTCATAATTTTTATCCGATTAAAAAAAACGTTTCAATATATCACCGTTACACCCTAAGGATGGTTAAGTTTGATATTCGTGAAAATCGGCCCAAAACTGCCAGACAAAATGGCCGCCCCTCGTACTCAAATGGCCACAGATCACAATTAAAAGATTTCCCCATTGACTTTAATGTTAATTCTCGTATCTTAGACCGGCTCTAACGTTTTCCCAAATTTTCGTTGGGTAGAACGCTTTCTACCACAGATGGAGCAACCTCTTGCCCAAAAGCACGTATGAGGTTCTTCATGAAAAACTTGAGATAAACAAGCTGGAAGTAGAGACTTGTAAACATGCAGTTTTAGGCCCTACATTTCAACCTAACCAACCTCTCAACTCTTGTATCCTTCCGCATCAAAATTATGAATATTCACCAAAAACTGGCAGAAAATGTATTTTCAAACCCTTTTCTTCGATTCTACACCAAAAATTCAACAAAAATCGCCATGCAAAAGGGGGAAAAGGAAGAGGAAGGCTATAAATAGCTTTGGCCCTTGTTTCGTGGGTGACGGCGTAGGAATATTTGGTGATCTGTGTCCAAATAGCGTAAAAAATATGGTACATAAAAGTCGTGAACCCTCTAGAGGTCACAATTTTCTTCTGATTTTGATGAAACTTGAAATGTAAGTTAATAACCCAAAGATCTTGGTTCCTTTTGATATTCGCGCGTATCGGATTGTATCTTCCTGAATTAAGGCCCCTGAATGTAGAAAAAATCATGTTTTTAGCTTGCAGTCCATGTAGAGGTCACAATTTTTATCTGATTTAAAAAAAAACTTGTGAATATATCACCATTACACACTAAGATCTTGGTTCCATTTGATAATCGCGTATATCCGAACGTAACTTCCTGGATTATGGCTCCCGATTGTTCGAAAAATCGCATTTTTAGCTTGGGATTCTCTAGCGGTCACAACTTTTTTTCACGATTTTAAAAACTGTTTAAATATTTCACCATAATGGAGGTTGAATTTGAATTTCGAGAAAATCGAAATGAAACTGCCCGACAAAATGGCCGCTTTTTTGTACGTAAATTGTGTAAAAGTATGCTACGAAGGTTGTGGACCCTCTAGAGGTCACAATTTGTATCCGATTTTGATGAAACTTAAAACATATCTTTATATCCCAAAGATGTCAGTCCCTTTTGATATTTGCGCATTTGAGACCATAACTTTCTGGATTATTGCCCCTGATTGTACAAAAAATCCTGTTTGTTTTTAGCTTGTTCTCTTCCAGCTCTTGCAAAATGTGGGTGTATCCTGCCTGGCAGCCGCTGATTTCAATATCTTTTGCTTAAAGATACATGTACTTAATTTAAGATTTTAATAAAGAGTTAGTCATTCTTGATATAAAAGTTCAAAAATAGATGATAAAAAAAAAAAATATTGAAAATTTCAGTAAAATTACTGGTACTTTATCACTGTTGGAAGTTTGCACTAGAAATACGCATCAACCGTCTCTGCACTGTCTCCGAGAATTGATGATCGTTTGATTGACTGATGATAACTCCGCCCACACAAGTAACATTTTCAATGCCTACGGTACCCTCGATTGTCAGTACTTTCATTGGCAGTCTCCGGTAGTGACGTCAGTCATAACGGTAAATGTTAGCCAGTGAAGACGGTAAATGTTAGCTTGGTCAGCCATTTAATGTTTAATTATTAAATGAACGACTGTTTAAATCCACGTTGTATCCAAGCCGTCCGAGGGTCTATGTAAATAAATGGCTAATTAATAATTTTTATAGCATTTGAAGCCTATAGAAAGACTTGCAATAGGCATATTTACTTTATTTAGCTCTTAACTAATGTATCTTTAATAGGTTGTCAAATCACTATTATATTGGAATCATTCCAGCACTTAAAAAAACATTCACATAAAAATTTGAAATATTTTCTGCTGGTCCATTGTACTTTGAAATTGTATACATATCATTTTTCACTAAAAGACTATTAGAAGTAGGGATTTGTCTCAATTGTCCATGTTTGTGGTTTAAAAACATGTCAGCATAATTTTGCATGGTTGGCCGAGGTAACATTATTGTCCCCCGCCTTTCGAAGAAAGCAGGGGACTATTAAAATGGGTTCGTCCGTCTGTCTGTCCGTCTGTCTGTCCGTCTGTCTGTCCGTCACACTTTTTGGGACACAATAACTCTCTTCCTAATTGAGCTAGAATGTTCAAACTTGGTGTATGTGTTTATTAGGTCAATGCCTTGATGGAGTTCGAAGATGAGCATTTTCCGCTTAGGGTAAGCAGAGATAAGCAATTTGATTGGTTGATGCTTTGGGACACGATAACTCTCTTCCTAATTGGGCTAGAATGTTCAAACTTGGTGTATGTGTTGATTAGGTCAATGCCTTAATGGAGTTCGAAGATGAGCATTTTCCGCTTAGGGTAAGCAGAGATAAGCAATTTGATTGGTTGATGCTTTGGGACACGATAACTTTTAATTGAGCTAGAATGTTCAAACTTGGTGTATGTGTTTATTAGGTCAATGCCTTGATGGAGTTCGAAGATGAGCATTTTCCACTTAGGGTAAGCAGAGATAAGCAATTTGATTGGTTGATACTTTGGGGCACGATAACTCTCTTCCTAATTGAGCTAGAATGTTCAAACTTGGTGTATGTGTTGATTAGGTCAATGCCTTGATGGAGTTCGAAGATGAGCATTTTCTGCTTAGGGTAAGCAGAGATAAGCAATTTGATTGGTTGATGCTTTGGGACACGATAACTTTAGTTCTAATTAAGTGAGATTGATGAAACTTGGTGTATAGTTTCATTACAGTAATACCTTGACTAAGTTTGATAATGAGCATTTTCTGCTCAGGGTAAGCAGAGCGATACGCAATTTGATTGGTCGAGACTTTGGAAAACAATAACTCTCCTACTTTGATTGTCCCCCGCCTTTCGAAGAAAGCAGGGAACTATTAAAATGGGTTCGTCCGTCTGTCTGTTTGTCTGTCTGTCCGTTCCGCTTATGGTAAGCAGAGATAAACAATTTGATTGGTTGATCTTCGAATTGAGTAAATGTTCATGCTTATTGTCCCCCGCCTTTTGAAGAAAGCAGGGAACTATTAAAATGGGTTCGTCCGTCTGTTTGTCTGTCCGTTCCGCTTAGGGTAAGCAGAGATAAACAATTTGATTGGTTGATGCTTTGGGACACTATAACTTTAGTTCTAATTAAGTAGATAAACAATTTGATTGGTTGATGCTTTGGGACACTATAACTTTAGTTCTAATTAAGTGAGAGTGATGAAACTTGGTGTATAGTTTCATTACAGTAATACCTTGACTAAGATCGATAATGAGCATTTTCTGCTCAGATTAAGCAGAGCGATAAGCAATTTGATTTGCTGAGACTTTGGAACACAATAACTCTCCTTCGAATTGAGTTAAAATGTTCAAAATTGGTGTGTATGCTTATTGTCCCCCGCCTTTCGAAGAAAGCAGGGGACTATTAAAATGGGTTCGTCCGTCGTCTGTTTGTCTGTCTGTCCGTCACACTCCTTCGAATTGAGTTAAAATGTTCAAAATTATTATAACCAGGTATTGATAAAAGCATCAATTGAGCAATTCCAATACAATCCAATACAATGAATATAGGCAAGGTAAATAAACAAATAAATGGAAAAAACAAATTGAAAAAGAAACTATTATAAATTAATTAAATATGTAGTATGCAATAATGAATTGACATTTAATGACAGAAAGAAAACAGTGAACTTTGCACAACTTGCAGCAAGATGGAAAATAGACCCGTTGATACAACCAAACTCTAGATCTGTAGGCATAGAGCATGTTTTCCCCTTAATATGCTATAATTATTCCATCAAAAACATTGTATGCTTAGACTATAAGTAAAGATATACTGTTTGATTGTTCAATACTTTGTAAAAGATAATTTGTGATAAATTTATATGTGTCCTCTAATTATTTTCCTATTTCGGCGGGGGACATCAGCCTCACTGTTGGCTTGTTTCCCTTGTTTTGGGGTCAACCATGACACTTTCAAAAGTAAACATTTCACTTTCAAAAAGAAAATGATATATTTGCCAATTTCTCAACTGACACCATATTAGTGAATTATAGGATTAATAATATTTTTTTTTTTTTTAAAAAAGGTAGGACTGTGTATAAGTGCCATTTATTTTAAGGCTTTATTTTAACATTTAAACATATGAGATGACGTTAAATAAATGCAGTTGTCGCTTTAATCGAATGTAGCTTGGTTTACTAATTTAAGTTTCGATTAGAATGTTATAATAAAATGATGGAGTTGGCACTGTTTGCAAAACAAATCAACACATAAAATTTAATTAATTGGACATTTTATACTAATAAGCCAAATGAAAGCAGTAGGATAGGGTGTCATTCAATTCGATTTAAATTTTCATTTTGGAAGACTTAGCCGAAGGTAGTTTAGTTGTGAAATGAATTTAATACCTATCATAAGACAAGATCTTCTATTTTAGAAATACAGATTGATTTCATTATCTGTCTTTATTACAGTTAAAGTTGTTTTATATAACCGAGAATCACCAGAAGTTTTAATCGATGCTGTTGATAAGGGTGAGTAACACTAGTGAAAACAATTTGCCTACAAAATATGGGTATTACAATATGTCACCGGGAGACTGTCTTCATAATGTCAAGGAATTACTATTATGACATATACATACAATACAGATCAAGCTTACTGTTCCAAACCTGCTCATGTCCGGTGGGGGGGGGGGGGGCCAATGGGAATATAGGAAGTAAGGTAATAAATGATCATGAGAGTCTCTGACTTTCACAAGCATGATTTACGCCATCAGTGGTGTAGTTTTTTTTGTAAGTACTTAAGAAAGATTATATTTATCAATGGTCATGAAGGCCTTGTCACAGTTTTTCTGTAATCCCCATGTAATTTATGTACGAATCTTGATCATTACTTTATGACTAGCTAGATAACCTTTTTACAGATATGACATTAAAGAAACCTGTACTCAGTCGACCTATGAGGTCAGTGTAACAGACATGTCACAATTACTTGATATTATGAGCATACGATTAGAATTGATTGAATAACTACATAATTTATGTGCGAGTCCGGAGTTCTGAGTCTACCCGTACTCATATAAAATAATTGTTGTTTTAAAAAAAAGAAGTTCTGTTAATACCATGCTAAGAGTTCTGAATTAACGACAATATAAATAGTCTTTTATATATGTACAGTACATTCTATCGTACATCTAGATTTCTTTTTCAGAAGTCCCTTCACTAAATATGAAATAATTATTTTTACAGCTCTGTCTGATCTTGGTGTTAGTTTTGTAGAGACTGTTTTATTAGCCATTCCTGATACTGAAAATGAAATTACTGTAGAAGATATCAAACCATTCTGGACAGTTTTACAAACATTAGTAGAACAAGAAAAAGTTTTCTTCCTTGGAATATGTGATCTTGACAAAGCTCGCTTTGAACAGTTATTTGATTGGGCAACAGTAAGTTGGATATTAAACTATAATTTTTGTCTTTAAATGTAACTGCATTGGCGGATGTTTTCTTGGCTTGATTTCTTCTGCATAGGTTTCCTTATATTGAAAAGGTGGTAAGTCTACATCTGTAGTTTATTAATTCTATTTGGTCGTCTGGGGAAAGATTCTTAGATGTTGGAAATTATAGGATTTCTTTTTTGAAATTTGAAACATTCGTTTAAAGACATACTGCGTACATACTGTTACCACTAAACGAGAGGTAAATGGGGGAGCTACACGTACAGTTCACAAAAGCCTGTTCCTTTTTGTGCTATGACCTTTGACTAGCGGGAACAGTCATATTCCAAACTTGTCATTGGTAGAATAAGATGCTTTGTGTTTTTTTATTTATTGTAAGCCTCAGCTTATTTCTCACTTGTAACCTATTACTGTACTTTTATTTTTCACAAAAAATGTCATCCATTCAATTTGAGTCAGTGATACTCAATCAATTAAATTCTGTTAAAGTAGATATATATCTTTTCTGACTTTTCTGTACAATAATAAAAATAATTCAGTCAGATACCCTAGTTAGGAATATGCCATGACTTAAGCTTATGTATCACAATGATGTTACCTAATTTCAGGAGACAAATGAACTAATATTTGATAGACAAACAGTGCCCACAGTTTCTATGAAGGACAATAACTGTTTAGGGGTCCAGGAATAAAACACATTGACATTGTAATAGTTATTTCGTTTATTGAAGTGTTATAATTTTAGGTTAAGCCATGTATAGATCAAGTTAATCTAGCATCATGTTGTGTCATGCCAGAAGATTTACGAGATTTTGCCAAATTACACAACGTGCAGTTATTAACACATAATGATCCACCAGGTTAGAAGACATTCTTGTTTTTATACGCCCACATGAAATTTATATATATTGTTTACGTTAATGAGAGGAAGAAGCCTATTTAATTTCAATAATTTCCGTTAATTATTTCTAGAGTTTTGGTCCTTGTCTCACTTTGTTAAACCTTGTAAAATTATCATCTGATCTGTATGAAATTTATATGCATTATTAAGATCCATTAATTACTTCTAGAGTTATGGCCCTTGTTTCACTTTGTTGAACCTTGTAAATGCTCTAACAACTAAAATTATAATGTTCTTTAAATGGCATTTAGTAACTGGATAGAGTAACAACAAAACACATACTTATGGAAAACAGCTACTAGTGTATTTAAGGCGACGTGTCGTAGAGTATTCTCTCAACGTTATCAAGCTAATACAGTAAAACAGGTATGAGGCAAATATATATAGACAAAATGTTGTTGTATTTTGTCTATATATATTTGCCTCATACCTGTTTTACTGTATTAGCTTGATAACGTTGAGAGAATACTCTACGAAACGTCACCTTAAATACACTAGTAGCTGTTTTCGATAAGTATGTGTTTTGTTGTTAAAATTATAATATTAGTCGATCTGTACGAAATTTATATACGTTATTAAGATCCATAAACGAATAAGCCTAGTGAATTTCAACACTTTTCGTTAATTACTTCTAGAGTTATGGCCCTTGGTTCATTTTATTGAACCATGTGAATACTCTAACGACTCAAGTTATTATCCCATCTGTATGAAATTGATATCAGTGTCTTGTAAACGCTCCTATTACCTACAAAAGTATAAATATGTGACAACCCTGATCGACTGCTCTGACGATTTAGCCACTGTTTTAGCTGTGTTTTGTTACCTGGCAACTTATCTTTGTTTACAAAATTTACAGAGGATGATGGTTCTAAAAAAATTTCTCTAGACTCTACAATTTTTCCTTTCGGGTAAGCTTGAATGCTGTCTTCTGGCTATCTTTTTTGTTCGAGACAAAGCTGCTTTAGAAATCTTGTTATTCTGAAGGAAATTGGACCTAACAGTTTCTGCTTTCTTTTATTTTAGATGTTTTACCTCTTCAATCTCTACAAGATGCCATTCGTAAATCAAGTACAAGCAAGGATGGAGATAACTGGGAGCCATCTTGGATTTCACGCTACTCAACGATAGTTAAATGTAGAGGCATAATTTTAACGAAGGGCTATGTCATCAATTTAACTCGAGACATTAAACGAAAATCATAGATATCATATAGGTCATCATCTCTTTCAGTTAGTTTAAAATAAAAGTGTTTCTATGGGGTATTATAGGGATAATAGAAGCTCGCAGTGTCTGTTCTGTCTCTGGCAATCATATTTTTCGCAATGGAGTGACTTTTTGAAAATGAAGAAATGCTGCAATTTGTGCAAAACTCTTCTGTTTCATATTGCACACTAAACCATAGAACCGTTTAATTTGTCAAGAGTGCTTTCCCTTTCATTAATCAAAAAAACCAAATCAGACCAACACAATTTAACATATTATTTTGACCTTTCGAAGAAAACGGGGGACTATTCAAATAGGTTCATCCATCTGTCTGTCCGTCACTTTTTGGACACAATAACTCTCTCCTAATATAGCAACAATGTTCAAACTTGGTGTAGGTGTTTATTACACTGTAAACCAGGTAATCTATTGTATCTAGTACTAATTTCTTTCACATTTGTTTAATATCCAATCTTTGTTTAAAAATTCGTAAAAACTGTTTAAAATCACCATAAATCGTTTAATTTGTACTTGTGTCCAGTTTAAAGCTGACCATTCAATTTTGATAATGAGTGTCCAATTTACAAGTGTTTAATATTTCAATCACTATTAAAAAAATAAACAACCCAATTGATTAATGATGTATAATGATTAATTTTTGAACAGTGGTCAGGAAATTAAATACTTGGACACTCATTATCAAAATTAATCAGTCAGCTTTAAACTGGACACAAGTACCAATTTGATGATTTTGGGTGATTTTAAACGATTTTTACAAATTTTTAAACAAAGATTTGATATTCAACGAATGTGAAAGAAATTAATGCTAGATACACAAGATTAAATGATACCTGATTTACAGTGAATGCCTTGATGGAGTTCGAAGATGAGAATTTTCTGTTAAGGGTAAGCAGAGATAAGCAATTTGATTGGTTGATGCTTTGGGACTCGATAAATTTAGTTCTAATTAAGTGAGAGTGATGAAACTTAGTGTATAGTTTCATTACATCAATACCTTGACTAAGTTCGATAATGAGCATTTTCTGTTCAGGGTAAGCAGAGCGATAAGCAATTTGATTGACCGAGTCTTTGGAATACAATAACTCTCTTTCGAATTGAGGTAGAATGTTCAAACTCGGTGTAGGTGTTGGTTGATGCTTTGTAACACAATAACTTTATTTAGTTCTAATTCAAGTTACAATTTCATATTTTTAAGTTATATTTTTAAACATGCATTATGCAAGAGCTAAATCTGCCTATTGCAGGTCTTTCTTTAGGCCTGAAATGTTTTCTAAAGTATTAATTAGACATTAACTGATCCAGGCCTTAATCAACTCTCGATGGCATCAGAGTTCTCCGATATTAAATAGATTAGAATGGTTCAGCGATACTTTGATTTAATCAAATATGGAGGACTGAGACTTAGTTTCGATCAACCAGTACGGTGGTTGAAATTATTGCACACGTCTGTCAAACCTTCAAAGGCTAATATCGTCGCTTGCAATAGAGTAATTTGAATGAAATTTTCAAATTATTCATTTTACATCATCGACTTTCGAACTATTATAGCAAGAATGGCTAGTTCTTTATCTAAATCTTACATAATGTATCTTTAAAATGTATTAAAATAAAGCCCTAAAATAAATGGTATCTTTAAACATTTCTACCTTGTTAAAGAATAATCCTATAATTCACTATTGCCAGTTGAGAAATTGGCAAAAACATCATTTTCAACTTCAAATTCAAACGTTTGAAGATAGCTATGCCATGGATGGTGGAGAATTGGAAAACAAGGGGGGGATGTGTAATTGTGTTATTATTTCTGATGTGAAGATTTTTAAGTGTGAGAAAGATAACCTATGATGGTATAATAGTGAATTGACAACCTATTGAGCAAAAGACATAGAAATAATTATGTTTTGACTTTCTTAGAAAATATGAAATTGTAACTTTAAGTGAGAGTGGTGAAATTTGGTGTATAGTTTTATTACATCAATACCTTGACTAAGTTCGATAATAGGCATTTTCTGCTGAGGGTAAGCAGAGTGATAAGCAATTTGATTGGTCGAGACTTTGGAACACAATAACTCTCATTCTAATTGAGTTAGAATGTCCACACTTGGCGTAGGTGTCTATTAGGTGAATGCCTTGATGGAGTTCAAAGATGAGAATTTTCTGCTTAGGGTAAGCAGAGATAAGCAATTTGATTGGTTGATGCTTTGGGACACAATAACTTTGGTTCTAATTAAGTAAGAGTGAGGACACCTGGTGTATAGGTTTATTACATCAATACATTGACTAAGTTCGATAATGAACATTTTCTGCTGAGGGTAAACAGAGCGATAAGCAATTTGATTGGTCGAGACTTTGGAACACAATAACTCTCCTTTAATTGAGGTAGAATGTTCAAACTTGGTGTAGGCGTTCATTAGGTGAATGCCTTGATGGAGTTAGTTGATGACCATTGTCTGCTTACGGTGTAGTACTACCGGACTTCTTTATTGGTTGTGTTTGTGATCGTAAATAACACTACAGTAATACTGATTTCCCAACTTTATTACTAAATTGTACTGGCTTTCAGGTTCCTCGTTCTCAATGGTAATGACTGGTAAGAATTTCTGGGTGAGCTCTAATCTAGCTCTCCTCTACACCCTAATTTATACCCCCTACTTTCCCAGGTCTTCAATAACCTTGACGTGAATTTCCACGCCATATAAGGAATAAAACTCTATATTTCCCACAAACAAGACAGGCAACATTACCTATTTTTGGTCAACCGACCATAGGTCAATAAACAGCTAGAATTTGATGACTATTTTGACAATGATTATAATTTAACTAAAACATCAACGTTTTTTTAGAACAACTATAACCACGTTCATTTAGTACTTATGATTTGACTTTATAGACCAAATTGAAGAGACAATTTTATAAAGAGCCAAAATAGTCTCAAGGGCCATAGTGCTACAATGGTAAGCAGAGATAAGCAATCTGATTGGTAGATGCTTTGGGGCACAATAATTTTGGTTATAATGAAGTGAGAGTGATGAATATAGATTCATTATATCATTACCTTGACTAAGTTCGATGGTGAGAATTTTCTGCTTTTGCTAAGGAGCGGTAAGCAATTTGATTGGTCAAGACTTTAGAACATAACTTAATATAGATGTTCATTAGGTGAATGTCTTGACTGAGTTTAATGATTAACATTTCGAGCTAAAGCTAAGCAGAGCTAAGCAATTTCATTGGTCGATGCTTTGGGACAAGATAATCTTGATTCTATCTGATAGAGAGTGATGAAACTTAGTGTATAGTTTGATTGCTCAATACTTTTGAAAAAAATAATGTGTGATTAATTAATGTGTCATCTATTTATTTTGGGATTTCAACGGGGGACATCAGCCTCACTGTTGGCTTGTTTTTTTGTTTTGTTAAAGATACAGTCTTGCAATCTTATAAACCCATTTTTATCAGAAAGTATCGAATGGAGCTACAACAAATTGATTAAAAATATTTTGACCATTGTGTCTGAGTTTGCTGGCATCTCACATTGTATGATAGCCATGCTCATTGTCTTACTGCTGGAGTACTTTTTCCAATCATTTATGTTTAGGATCTTGATTATGAGAGAAATCCTCCTGCAGATACATGTTTAGGGCATGTATAATGTACGGTAGCATGACTGTAACTACATGATTTAACTGCTAGCATTAATGTAAAAGGTTTAATTATTATATTTAAATTATTATACTAGATTTGCCATAATATGTTAGCATTCATATTAATTATACTAAATTAATGATCTTTTATACTGTTATTGCATTCATAATGTTATTGTTTACCCAAATGGTTGAGATATTTTATTGTAAAATCAGAATTATTGTTGTCAGAATTATTGTTGTCAGAATGATTGTGGCCAGAAATGGTTGGACTGTTGAAATATTTTATTGTAAAATCATTATATTAAACATGCATTATGCAAGAGCAAAATCTGCTTATTACAAGTCTTTCTTTAGGCCTGAAATGTTATCTAAATTATCAATTAGACATTAATTAACTTATCCAGACCATAATAAACTCTCGATGTCAAGGCTAGCCTTCGATGTTGGCTGGATTTGATTCTTATATGCCACTAACGGCCATTGATAATTAAATCAAAAAAAGTGGATAACCGAGACTATGCTGTTTATATTAATGATTTTAGTAATGATGACCGAGACTATGCAAAAATTTCACCCGCTTCTTTCTTGACTCGTAGTGGATCAATTTGACTGAAATTTTCAGCAAATTACCTTTACACTATCTAGTTTTTAACTATTATAGCGAAAACTGGCATCTCTTTTTCTTATCTCCCATAATGTATCTTTAAGGAAATGTTTTTGGGTTTTTTTTTAATAATTACAGAATGTCTTTGGAATTGTATTTTCACAATATTGGATCATAGAAAATCCTTTTAATACAAATGTTGAAACTTGGTGTGGCGATAATACACTGCCTTGGCTATTCCAATTTTTTGTATGAATTCTGCTGGTATGAATTACTGTCTTTTTTACTAGTCTACATGAGCTACTAAACTGGTATTGTTATTGTGCATGTACATATATGATAGAATTTATCAAAATTAAGATTCTTTTGGGGCTTACATATACAATTATATTATATAGATGTTTGTGGTAATAAACTGGTTAAAATCTACTGTTAGTTTTAATAATAATACATTCCAAGTAATCACTGTGATAAAATCATGAAAAGAAATTAAAATAGTAATAAGATTTTTATTTTTTATTAGAAAGTAAAGTTCTAGAGATCTGTCTTTGTCTTTTTGTTTATATTATTACAGAACATTTATCTTTACTCCGGGGTGGGGGGGGGTTGGATGGCTGAATAGTTAGCGTGCGCGCGCTGTATCATAAAGTCTGTCATTGAGTCGACTGGCGTGGTTTCGAATCCCCGGTTTTATGTGACAAGGAGTTTTCTCCGGGTCCTCCGGTTTCCTCCCACTGCTAAAGACCCCTACGCGCAAGCGAATTATGTAAATAAAATTAAACCATATGTTAGTCCCGAAATGACCTAGTTTGTGTCGAGTGGACGTTAAACCCCATTTATCTCTCTCTCTTTATCTTTACATCTGCAACTATCAACATTTATGCTCTTAGAAACACTTCACGTGTAATGAAGCGCTATATAAATCGAACAATAATAATTTATAAAACATTTATAAAAAATAACCTTAAAGATCATGCTTTACAAACTTGCCCTTTCATAGCTGTATTGGTTAAAAACCACAATAATCAGTTTAGAGAAAAAACAGATATGAAATTGACTTCGCAATTGGTAATATTGAGACTAACATGATTATATTAGCTACTTTTGCTTCAGTTCCAGATTTTATTCGATTCATGGATTTCATGGTGGTAGTAACATAAGGTAATTTTTTTTATCATCTTTTTTACAAGAGTTTCAAAAGTTATCCAAAGTTGCCTACAAAAATGAGACGAATATTTCTAAATTCTTCACTGAAAATTTAAAAAATGAATAATTAAGGTGTTTTATGGAGAGAACTTTTGTGAAAATTCTCAAATAGACAAAAATCAGGGCCAAATTAGGTCATTTCAAGTCCTTGAAGAGCAAACTTGAGTGAGGGGGGAATGTTTATGTCAAGATATGAAATTTCAAGCTTTGCTGTTTCTATTTGTAAATACACTACCTTGAATACATACATGTATCAATGTTGACTGTACAGCAGACTAAAGCTGACAGTAAAATTTCTTGTCAGTATTGAACTGGTAATAACATTCCAGTTACCTCCTTGACATTTGCTATCTCTGTCAATTGACGAATAAAACTGAAACTAATACATATTAAAAAAAAGTGTTTTATTTCTATCCAAATCTATATAATACATGCTCAGAATATGAGAACAAAAAATCCATGTCTATCTTACCTGTAGCCTAAATGTCATCGAAAATTTTGAAATTTAGGGTCAAATAACTATCTCACAAATTTTAATAGCCTGCTTAGATTTTCTTGCTATATTAACTAGGGGGGAGGGGAAATTGCACAGAATTTTGTGTTTTATTTAATTGAAATATCCTTTTAATTAGGTTTATGTTAGGTTAAGGCATCATATTTTAAAACTAAAAAGTTAATAAAAAAAAAAACATTTATAATTAAACAAAAAGTTTCAGCAATATAGTTTTAAAGTTACTAATTCATTACACACAGGACAATAATACTGGTATTTAAAATACAGATGTGACGTCATCCTGTGATGTTGGCCTACCATTATTTTAAATAATGGTATGGGCAATGTGCCAAGCATACATTATTTATACTAGTTGAAATATTGGACCCGCATGACGTATTTCATTGAAATGCACGTGCTGGATAGTGTCTGTATTTTAAGTTGTTTAATGGTCTTGTGCACACTGATCCGCGATAATCACTGATAAGGATGATATCGATACTACTTAATGAGCCATAAATATTAACTTTTTTCCTCCGACAAATTAAATTCTAAAACAGATTGGTGCAAGACATTTTGTAATATATATAGATATAGCACTCGTGCAATATCAATATATTACTTAATTTCTCGCACTCGACCATTAAACTACACTTAATATTTGCAATTAAAAAAATAATACCCAAATCAAAAATTATTTTTTTTGATTTTTTTCAAAAATATTTACATAACTTCAATAATGGAATGGCTTGATAAAGCTAAGGATACATGAAATCACACATTTATATGACATTGTAAATTAAAGTGTACTTAACTACTGATATACATCAAATACCCAGAAAAATGAATTTTGGGGATTATTTGAAACTGACGCGTTTGAATTAAACAGTCTTTAAAAAAAAATACCACATAAGATCAAAAATCTAAATTACATGTATGTATAGCCCATGGTTACTTTATCAACTTTACGGCAACTTCTCACCAATCTGATTAAAATTAAGTTCGTTCGTTCGTTCTTGGTGTTTAACGTCTGCTTCCACATAAGTGATATCGCAGACAAGACATAGGAGAGCCGAAGCTGATTCCTGTTTTTTAGAATATGATTTTGCAATCTTTCCATTTGGCCTGAGGCCATGGATTTGGTTTAGTGGGAAGTTCTTCCCTTTATTTAATATAAAACATATCGTTTGGTAGATGATCTCGTCTGCTTCTGGATTGGTAGATGTCATCGTTTTAGTGTTTAGGTGCCAGGCCCATCTTATCGTGGCCTCCCCTTACTCCACTATCTGGGTTTGGTATCAGTTTTATTTGCGGAATAGTGTTTAGGTGCCGAGTTCGCCTGACCGTAACTCCCCTTACTCCACTATCCTGCTAGTTTGGTAGATGTCATCTTTATGGGGTTTGTGTTTAGGTGCCAGGCCCGTCTTATCGTGACCTCCCCTTACTCCACTATCCCACTCTGTAGGTTTGGTGTCTGTTTTTGGTGGAATAGTGTTTAGATGCCGAGTCCGTCTGATCGTGACTCCCCCTTACTCCACTATCCTGCCAGTTTGGTATAAATCCTCTATGTAGTTTAGTGTTTAGATGCCGGGCCCGTCTAACCGTGACCCCCTCTTACTTCACTATTCTACTTAGTCCAACTGTGTCCATTAGGGCGTGGATTTGTTCGAAGATTTGCAGTTTCAGATCTGGTCTCGGGAAGAGTAGGTTCTTAGTGTTGAATGGTATGTTGTTGGTCTCCATTGTTCTCACTAGTTCCCTTCTCTCCTCCTCGTATACCTCGCAGTCTACCAGGACATGGTTGGTGGTACATTCTTCTCCGCACTCACAGATGATGACTTGGTGTTTGTAGTCTCGCAGCCACTCTTTCACCCTTAGCTTCGATATAAGTCTACAAATATCTCTTCTAGGGTGATTGAGTGTTGTCTTTGTGTAGATCTTGTCATCCAGCCAGAATCTGTATGTGTCAAGTTCAACGAGATTTAATTCCCAGATTGAATTGACCTGTCTTTTGACCATACTGTAGATTTCCGTGGTGCTGTAGTCTATGGTGCGGAGTGGTGCTGTGTCCTTGAGACCTTCATTGGCGAGTTGATCTGCCTCCTCGTTTCCTCTAATGTTGACATGTGATGGAATCCACACGAGTTCTACTTTGCTTCCCTTCTCTATAACCCTCTGGTACAGCTGCCTGATTTCCAAAATGACTTCTGGTCTTGAGTCCGAGTTGTCATTTTGGATTGAAATCAGACTGCTCAGAGAGTCGCTTGGAATGACGAACTTACTAGTCTTTTGATGGGAAATCCATGATATAGCGTCACGAATGGCCACAAGCCCTGCAGTGTGCACCGAACAGTTATTGGGTAGTTTCCTGCTTATTCCATGTTTCCCGTTTGGCAGGTATATTCCAAACGAGCTGGTGCCCTTTTCAGGATTGCGTGAGCCATCCGTGTACACATGGTCCCAGTCATCAGACGGCCAGTTGTCTTCCAGGTGTTCTAGAGAGAAAGCACGTGCAGCAGTGGGGTTGTTTTTCTTGTCAATTTTCTGTAGTAGATCTAGATTAACCGGCGGTGTAGGGAGCGTCCAAGGGGCGATCGCTGGGGGGTCGTGTTCATTTATCACGAGCTCCCCCAGTTGCAGTTCCTTGATTGTTTCCCTGATACCCTGGCCGAAGCTTTTCTTTCTAGGATCTCTTACATATCTTGTCTTTTGTAGACTGACAAAAGTAGGGGATCTTTCGCCCAGTTGCGAGATCTTGGCCCAATACCTTGTCGCAAGTTCTTTTCTTCTTAGGGATAGGGGCAACTCCCCGGCTTCCTGTAGTAATGCCTCTCTCCTAGTCCCAAGCCCTACGCCGATCACAATACACAGAGCTTTGTATTGGATGGTGTCAAGCTTACTTAAGAGTTTTGGCGCACAGTTCATGAAGGCCGTAGTCTAATACAGAGCGTATTAGAGCACGATACACCATCATTAATGTAACTCTATTGGCACCCCATGTGCTGTCCGTTATTTTCCTCATTAAATTTTGGATTTTGGTGCATCTATCTACAGTCTCGTCGATGTGCGGTTTCCAGGTCAGCCTTCGGTCAAAGATTACACCAAGGAACTTGGTTTGGTCTTTAAACTCGATGGTTTTCCCGTTCATACACAGAGTCATTCTGTTTATCCCTCTATCCCTGCTTACAAGCATGCCGACTGTTTTCTTCTCCGAGACTTTGAATCCCCAATCGTTTGCCCATGCCATGAATTTGTCTACGGCCTTCTGCATGTTCTTTTGTAGTTCACAGAAGTTCCTCCCTTTCCTCCATATGGTACTGTCATCAACCAATTTAGCAAACTCTGTTTTGGCGTCGAGGTAGGAAGATTTCTGTATGTCGTTGATCATGATATTGAAGAGAGTCGGACTGATAACCGACCCCTGAGGCGTGCCATTTTCTAATGTTTGCACGGCACTCAGGAATCTGCCTACATTCACCTGTATCCTTCTATCGCTCAGAAAGCTTTTGATCCACCGAAACATTATGCCCGTTATACCAATACGTCCTAACTTGAAGAGCAGCCCGTCTAGCCAGACTAAATCGAAAGCCTTAGTTAAATCTACGAACACGACACATAACAGGTTCCCAGAGAGGAGTGCCTGCGACATGACTTGCTGTAGTCTCACCAAGTGGTCCGTTGTTGAACGCCCTTTCCTGAACCCGCTTTGATTTTCGTCGATCAGTCGGTT